TTTACCTTGCAATCCAGCTGGTCAGCAGTTCAACCAACGTTGGGCTGAGCTACAAAAATTGTTCACTGAATTCAAAATTCTTCTCCTATTGTCTCCTAAGCAACTGAGAACTATGTGTTTTCTCCTCAACAGGCAAGACTGTGACTTGGCGTTGCGTTAGCCGGTCTTTGCCAAAGCAGAAGGAATCCGTGAAACTGATCCGGAATCTATGCACTGCTCTCACTCGGCTTTCCTTTCGCCGCTTCCAAATCAGCGGCAGCAGCAGCAGCTCTCTTTCTGCGATTGACAGATTCCTGCGTTTCATCCTGCTTGATCCTCCAAGGGGCACGAGCATCTGAAGGTGGCGTTGCCACTACCTTTGCAGTTGCCCCTGCCGGCGGCGAAGATTGATCTGTCCCTGTCGACAGCACTGGCGGCGGCGGTGGTGGTCCAAACGTCTCAACCTTCACGGGATAGCCATGCTCAGCATTGAGTTCAGCCGCCCACTGCTCTGCTTCTTGCAAGCTGACCGATGTGATGCCGTCGTGGTGCGGCTGGCCCTGACCTTTACCACCACCAGGCTTCCACGCTGACTGTTTCCAATTCCATCTCCACTGACCTGTGACGTCATTGCGCTCGAATTCACCTTAGCGTGAGAAGAAAACAGATGTAACATGCGACATACACAAAATACATGGTTGCCAGGTTTTTTCGTTAATACAAGCTCCACACACCTGGGCATTATATGTGTTGACCAATTTGTCGGTGGGTAGGTCCATTAACCTATGATTTGTTTCTTTGATGTTTGGCAAAAAGAAAAATTGCACCGCTGTAATATTGTCTAGAAACCTTCCAGGGCATTGGCGGCAACTGACGTTGAAAGCAGCATCGCCTGCTTCCACGATTCATACCAATCGTGGTAGCTCTTGCCCCTGCCCTTCTGTAATGTTTGATAGAAAAAGCGTAGCATATCTCGATATTCCCGCCCGCTTTGAGACTGAGAGGGATGGCCATAGCTTTGACTCATGGCACCCAACGCAAAAAGTCAGTCCAGGATCCACGCTTCGATTATTTGATCCACTCAAGGCAACCATCATGGTTATGTCACTTTGTCACAAGCTTTCAAAACTAAAGGGATAACCCCTGAATCCTGAATGCTGCCCAAATACCAGAGACCCCGTCCGGCGCAAACTCAACCTCAAAAACGCATTGAACAAACCATGTTCGGCAAAAGGTAAATGTCAACACAGCAAACTTCAGGCCAGTCCAAACATTCATTTATTGAGGCCTTGGCTGAAACGTCCAAGGGCTCACGACCCAGCTCAAGTCCGTCCAGGAGAATTGACTGGAATGTGTGAATCCAGCTTTCAATCCCAGGCAGGCCGCCCTCTGGGATTTCATACCTGCCAGATGCGAATAGAACGCAACTCAGTGGACTTATTTGCCCTCTAGCCTGAGGACGGTAAAGGGAAGCTTCATGGTGTCATCCTTGCAATGCGCGTCGATCGCCTCATACAATGCGCAATAGAAAAACAACTAGAAGACTGGCTAGAAGCTCAAGCCTTTGCTCACTATGCACATGGCCAATGTTCAATAAGAAACTGGGTCGGTCACACATTCAGCAAGAGGCTTGAACGGCAAACCACGAAGGCCCATGTAATTCTTGAACCAATCCTCCACCTTTTTTGCATAGAAGTCCCGGTTTGGCCCATTGAGAAGGTCCAACACTAATTGGACTGGGTGAAGACCATCAATGTTGCCACCATCAGCCGTGAACAGTAGCACATGGTCCAGCATCTCCTACACGAAGAATCATTTTTTCAGTCAGTAGGCAATGTATCAATATGAGTGTTTTATATAATACCATGATATCTCCATGAAACTTGACAAGAACAAGTGGCGAGCCTTCATAAAAGCGCAGTCTCCAGGAAGAGACTTCATCTTTTTCTCCATGTCACTCGCAAGTTTCTTGTTCGGCGATGGTGTAGCGCCGACTGTTGGGGCCTCTCGTTTCACTCCCTTCTTCTCTTCAGTTTCATCTTCCTTTTTCAACTTTGCTTGCACCGCTTCAAGCAATGGGCACAAACTTAAGGCGGCCATCCTTTTTGCAATCCCTGCAAACCGCTCGCAATCCCTGCGTGCTTGGACCAAATGCATAAAAAGTACATTGGAAACATGTTGCAAAATCAAGTTTAAGTCCAATGTACTTGGAGCCTCCATGTACATTGAACACCCTAGTACATGATGGGAGTGATTGGACCTATTTTAGGTTTTCCAAATTGAGACCAATGTTCAGACCCCAGGCACCCCAAGTTCAATGGACATGGAGCCTCCAAGTACATTGGATTGTGTTCCAAAATGTGGAAAAAAGTCAATCGACTTTTTAGCCCCCAAGATCTCCCAAGTCATTTGGAACAACCCCCAAATCAATTTGGAGCAGCTCCCAAGTCTCCAAATTCCAATCGACCTCGAGCCTCCATGTACATCGGAAATGGTGTCCACCACCCCCCACGTACATCGGAATCACAGGCGCCGGCCTTCAGGTACATCGGAATGGAGGCCTGACAACCTCAAGTACATCGGAATTCTTTCCAACATGCCTAAAGTACATCGGAATTGGACGCCGCAAGCCCAAAAGTACATCGGAAACTCAGGGTTCAAAAGTACATCGGATTTCTCAAATTCCAACCAAAAGTACATCGGAATTCTCAATTTTCCACCCCAAGTACATCGGAATTCTCAACTTCCCACCCCAAGTACATCGGAAATCTAAACAGTGGTGAAGCAAAGGTACATCAAACGTGAGAAAGAACTTCACGCTAGTAAGGCTGCAAGCTTTCTGAGTGTTGGGCCCTCGTAGTGGAAACATTTGCCAAGGCCTGCTTTGCGAATGGGGCATGGAATGCTGCAGCATGTGGCAGGCTGAGGCTTGGGCCGGGCTCTGGGCTGGAGATTGAGGAGAAGAAAACCTGAGCAAAGAGTCCATCAATGCTGTGTTTACCGGCCATAAAAGGGCTTCCCTAATTTAGCTTCCCAGCTAATGAGGGCTTCCCAGCCATGACATAAAGCTTCCCAGCTAATGAAGGGTTGCCAGCCATGACATAAAGCTTCCCAGCTAAAGAGGGCTTCCCAGCCAAGACATAAGCTTCCCAGCTAATGAAGGCTTCCCAAACACAAAAACGTCAGCTGACGAGCTAGTTCCTCAGAGTTTTTTGGCGGCAAGGGGGCAGCGCATCAACAGAAGATCTTTCCACAAAGCTACGGTGCTGAGACTCAATTTGTCAAAGGAATGAATTTTTCATGACTGTATGCCAAAGAACAACAACTGGTTGACGTGCTTCTCAGCGCCTTACCCCTGCAAAGATTGCTTTCAAGGGCATAGCTGGGGCAAGAGAATCTACAATGCTGCCGTGCAATGAAAAAATTGGCAGCCCAATTCTGTCCTCACCAGGCCGATCATGCCAAGGCAAAGCCTGCGGCTGCCCCTCGATCCAATATTTGTTCTCAGCCAAATCCTTGGGAAATTCAGGGTGGCTTTTTTAATAAAGGGGTTCCCAAACATGTTGGAACTGATTGCTTTTAAGTCGAGCAACTCTCAGGTACTGTGTAGCCCTAGCGTATGGTTCTCCATAAGCGGCGTGGATCGCATTAGCGACCTCAATCATTTGGGCCCTGAACTTTGGACCATGATTGGTCTCCATCCTTGGCGGAGTCAAGTTAGTCAAGATTCCACTCCTTAATCGCCTATCATGTCAATTTTCTGGAGAACAGACATTACCAAACACAGATATTGAAGCAGACAAGTGGCTTTACTTCAGTGTTCAACCCCACACGGGCCACTCTGCTTTCAGGCAGTACGAGCAAAGGTTTCTGGCTCAACTGCGTGTCGCAGATGTGCCGCTTGACCAGGCAAACGATGTCTTCACGATGAGGAGCGCCTCTCCAAGATCCCTGGTCAACGTTCAAGGCCAGCTGCTCCGGGAGATCTGACAGGGGCAGAGGCTGATAGAGGCTGGGAAGCCACACAATGACTGGGAAGTCAAAAGCTGACTGGGAAGTCACATATAGACGGCTAAACACCAAACACATGTTTGTTTATGGCTCAGAAACTTCAACCCAACTACAAATATTTGACTGATCACATTTAATTTGGTTTGTGGCAGAATCAGACCTTTCCGGTTCATCAGCACGAAGACATGGTTGGCCGTTGAATCAACGAGAAATCCACCCTCTAGGCTGATGCCCATTGCCCTCCAACTGTCCCGCCAGTTACGAACCACGTCTAACTTCTCAACGTGTACTTCCGTCGTTGAGCCAAGCCAGCCCCTCACGCCGGGGCGTACCAGCTCTTGTTGAAGACACTGGACAACATCACTTGCATTCAAGAGACTGTCTGTTCGCGCCACCCTCCTGCTGATCAAACCCCATATCTGATCCAGCCTATCGTGGGTGTGTGACTTGCGGAGGAAGTATAGGCCAGCTAGCCGTAGCTTCCTCCGGGCCAGTAACTGGCTGAGATATTTGATGTTGTGCTGGTTTTTCAACTCCCTCACGGTGTTGTCACCGAATACTATGCAGTTGCGTGGGGTAGCTCGATTTCTTCGAGCGCAAATCCTCAAAGCAATTAAATATCAGCCAAAAGATGCTCAAGTTCAAGTTCTGAAACCATTTGTCAAAAGCCTTTGGGTCCAAAACAAGACACAGGCAAGCAACCCAGCCACACGCTCCAACGTCAAAGCGATCAGTTCTGTGACGCTGCTGCTGTCATGGCGTAACATGTCGTCCATGACTTTGACCTCCAAACTATATCCTCAAAATATTCCACAAAAAAAACTCGCATCAAATTGACACTTTGTTCGTGTGACAATTTGTCAGATGAGTTGCAAAAGGCCCATGCGCCGTGTATCTTGAGCCGGGGCCTTTTCTCCGTGGGCCTGAGAGTGTTTGGCAGACAGGGCCGAGCGGCAGGCTGTAGTTCTAACAACAAATGCTGAGCAAAAACTGCCAACAATGCGGTTAAATCACACTGATGAAGTTGCCCTCAGTTTGGGGTCACGTGGTAGTGAAAACTTGGACTGGTCAAGGCCGTCAACCTGGATGCAAACCAGGTCAGATTGATCATCAAGCACTAGCTCCTGGAGAGCCCAGCAAATAGCTCGGTCTTGATACTGATGCGCCAAGTGCTGTCTGTACTTGACAAGCTGGCCCAATCGTTCTTCCAAAGTCTTGGAATTGGCAATGTCGTTTTTGAAGTGCCAACATAGCTCACAAGCTGAAAACCTTGAGAACAAATTGCCAAACTGTTGTTGCAACCCCAAAAGCACCAGTGCAACAAATGAGCCCAACGCAGGACTTGCTGACATGTGACAAGTTCTTCTCTCTGAATTTGAGGATGCTTTGCCAGCGTTCTTTGTATACTTTCAAGAAGGTGCCATACCTGAAGCGACAGCAACTGTGCAAATTTGCAATTGTGTGCAAAAACCATTGCATCAATACGCAATAAAACAAAGCGTCTGACACCAAGTTGTTCAAGCTGCGACACTGCTGCCGCACCAAACATTTGACGCGTTGCAACATAGTGTTGATATAAATCTGCGACTGTACCGGGGTCCATATACTTTGTAATTTGTTTTTCATTGGGGTGCACTATGTCCCAGACTGGGCCCTTGCCCGGAACATCTAAGAAGTCTCGCAGCTCCTCAACTTCGCAGTCCGAGTCAATGTCAATATCAGAGTCCTCTTGGCCAGAGGATCGCCCACGCCGGATGAACCTGCCAGGAACGCAAATCGGCGGGGTGAATCTGCAGCAAAAACAAAACCCAGCCATCAACAAACAAACCACACCTGTCTGGTAAGGTCTCTGCGACCCCATTGTACATCAGGCTCAAGAATGCGTCAACTGATGCCGCGCATTGCTGGGAACCTGCTCGCGATTTGCCTATCCTCATGTCAGGCTGCAAGCTCAAGCACTTGGAAAACCGGCTTTTGCCAATTGCCAAAATGGCGCATAGACAAGATCTTCCCACGCTGCGTCCAAGAAAAGAATACTGTGTTTGATGGCGATCCAAGCGATGCCCGCCCACTGTACTGTGCAACTTAGCCACCAACATATGGAACATAGATCAAAAATGGTGAAACAAAACGCGCCAGAGTTGACATAACATTTGCAGCTGTGGTGCAAAAGAATCTTGCTCACATTTTGCCATGTTCCAGAATGCATCCAAGAACTTCGCGCAGTCATCAGACATCAAGTCTTTGAAGCAAGTTTGCAAGGCACCTGGAACCAAAAGTAGGCATATTCAAGACACCACCAAACCAACATTTGCCCATCAAGCCAAAACTTGCACAAATGCACATTCTAATGTTCGTATAAGTTTGATACATGTATATGTCGCAAACATAAATCATAACAACTGCAGCAAGCCACATTTACACCGTTTGCTCTTCTGGAGGGTAGCCAGCCGACTTGGATCTAAAGCAGTAGATTTGTAGCTCCGCGGTTGTCTTGTGTCAGACTCAGCCGCGCGTTGAGCTCGCCTCGAATTATCATAGGCCCTTTTCTTTGCCTCTGGCGGTTGTGTCTTGTTAACCTTGCCCATGAACTGCGCCCGGCCAAACATAGCAAGGGCACTCCAACCAACATTCAGTGCCGGGGGCCCGGAAGCACCCTCATCATCAGAGGATGACTGATCCTCAACATGAGGAACAAGAGGTTTGGAAGAAGAGTAGCTTTTCTGGCGCGGCAGTTCCTCTGGCTCTTCGCCAAACAACACAGGAGCAGCCCTCCGAGCCGCAACTTTCGGCGCAGCTCCAGAGCTTTTCTGACGAGGCAGTTCCTCTGGCTCTTCACCAAACAACACAGGATCAGCCCTCAGAGGCACAACTTGCGGTGCAAATGTAGCGACTCGACTTTTTTTTGGTCGAGATTCTTCGGGCTCATCTTGAAAAGGAGGCATGGTCTGTCAAAAGGAGGCATTCACCTGTGTGTATTACCAACGTTTAATCGCCTTGATAGCATCAAAAATATCAACATAGTGATCAGTATACATTTACCATCATGTACCAAGGCTCCTTTCATTGTTTTGAAGACCCCAAGTTAACATAGTAGTGTGGCACAATGCTTATGAAGACTTTCACAGCTTATCAAGACTTTCGCAAGACCTGAGCCAGAAAAGTGCAAGTATATTTATAGTATTAGTATATAAGTGCAGGCTCAACTTCCCAGTTCACAAGCTCAACTTCCCAGTTTACACGGCTTCCCAGCCTGATTGCCTGAAACGCTGCAACTTCGATCAAAAGCATTTTGCCCCATCCCGGCGCAATCCAAATACCCAGCATCACTTTGGCGTGGGACGAACGGAGACACAAAGCATCGCGATCAAGCAAGTGAACGCAGCACACCCAAGGTGCATACCATTGCCTGCCATCTCTGTCACAGCAGACGTTGAGAAGTCGTCAAAGTTCCGCACGTCCTCGGCTTAAAAGAACCCGAACACAGAAACCACATGAAACCAAAGCAATGCAAACAATAACATTCCATATAGCTCAGCAGGGGCGCTGTTCCCAATGCATTGGCCTGTTGTCCCTGACAAGGGTAGCCAAGAGTATAGATCAGCTCCTTCGGGGTGAGGCAGCGCTTCTTCTCTTGCGACCTCAAGGTGGACAGGCGGCTATAAACGATAGCTTCAACGCCTGGTCAACATGATCAATCTGCAATGGCAAACGTCATGCAAAGGTGTCACAGTAGACATTCAAGGCAAGGCGCCATATGGTACTGTTTGTCGTGATGGTCATGAGAGCCCCGTCAGATGTTTCAGTCCTCAACCTGTGCTCTGGATTCGAAGCGAGATCATAGTACCCCTTAGACGGCGCCATCTGCTTGAAACTTGTCAGGTGCTTTTTCGCTGAAGGAGACAATTTCGATCTTTCATTCTCAGCAAACATGTAAATCTGCGGAGTCAGTGCCAATGTCGCATCGGGCGGAAGCAACAGAATGTCAGCCAACTCTGCAAAACTCAGTGGGCAAACCCACTGAGCTTTCTCGGAGTTGATGAGGATTCGCCAGCACCTGTCTCTTGAACTTGGTTCCCCAAACCGTCTTGGTGACAACCTCAATGAGCAAACAAGCATAATTAATTTTGAATGTGAAAAGCTCATGAAATGGCAACAGCAGCCAGCCACACTTTTCAGTCTAGCAGCGTGGCTTTCTCAATCCTGAACCCAGTCTCGGATGACACATATTCATCCTTCCAAGCGCAAACAGAATCTAGTGGTGCAAGCCGGTTGCTAACGCGGAGTGAAAATATGGTTTGCTGTGTTTGCTGAGGTTGGGGTGTGAACACGCAGCAGTCCTCATCAAAGCCAACCACATTCTCGTGCACTGACAGCACAGTGGATTTGATAAACCTGGCGCCAATATCGTGGAGCTTCTTGGTTTCCTTGTTTTCGAACTTGTCCCGCTTTCCGATCCCTAGGGAAAGCATTAAAACAGGAAATCATTTCCAATTGCACAAAAGACATGGTTCAACATGACATTGCTCAACGCAAAAGACAGTTCAAAGTAAGGCGAAGCGCTTGCTGTGGGATATGCAGGGCGCCCCCAAGTGTCCAACTGCAAAGTTGTTGATCAGGAGCTTGCACCTGTTAAGATATCAAAGATATCCCACACACCAGACTAATCAATTGAGATGTGATTAAATGACACATATTTTCACACACGACCCAGAGAGATATAAGATTTGCACTCTTTTCCATGGGCTTGGCAAGGAACAGCGTTTGCAAGCTTCAACTTCTTAACGTTCCACGTGTCACCAGCTGGCTCCTGGTGCAACAACTGCTTCACATCGCCCACCAGGCATGTCTTAGGATAGTGATCCAGCAGCAACCGCTGACACATCTGGCTCTTTTCTACCTTGAACACAAAGGCGAAGCACAGCAGCCCCTACCCAAAAAAAAGGAAATGGAACACTCGGCAGCTTGAGTCAAAAAGACCTTCCAACTGAAATTGCGAAACAGGGTGCGTGGAGCATGTGTTTGACATCAAGCTTGATTCCCAAGAAGGAAGAAACTGCCACATCTAGGATTTGCAAAGCCTCACGCATGCACTCCATCCCACTAAAGAGAGAGTAGATTCTCCATTTTGCCATTCCTCAGCTTTGGGCGGCGCAGGAAAAGAAACATTCAAGTAGAGATAATGTTGCGGTTTCATCGTCAAAGAACCTGATTAACTTATGGTCAAGAATCGTAGCTTCGACTTCACAGTCTCCTCTCCAAACAGTTGGCAAACCCTTTCCAGAAGCACTTGCGGCCATCGATGCATATCAGCCGCGCTCTGTGGCGTTGGATATGGGGCCCTCGGTTCAAACACAATGTTGAATATGGAGCGATGTGCGTGTTGAACTAAAAGACTGAGATGTCCATGACGTAGCCTGTTGTTAGATTAGCCCTTAGTCAAGCCACATGTGTGGGAGGATTATCTCCGCTTCCTCCAATGGCCTCAACCTCTTGCGCGCAGGCATGGCGCTCCTAGTTCCAAGCTTGGGCCCGTGGAAGCCTACGAATTGGAAGCTGAGATGCAAAAAGCCTTACATTGTCCATTCATCACCGCTGAAAGATTTGAGGCCCCGAGCTGCCAAGATGTCATGGAAGTTGATTGGATACCTGAATGAGTCCACGCTGGAAACAATTGAGTCCATGGGCCAGGAAAGTAACTTGCAGGGGAATGTTTTGCATTCTAAGGATTGGAGATTCTCCTGTGCTTGAAGAACGGCCAGAACACAGCAATGGCTGGATAGCTGGGAAGCAGGCAACTGGCTGGGAAGCCGGTAGATGGCTGGGAAGCCTGGGAAACAAGTAGGCGGCTAGTTTTCAAACATGTGTCCTTTCGGACAAGAACTGGGAGCGTGGCACTCAACATCCACGTGCGGTCCACACAAATCCTGCCCATGTTAACCTGACAGGAAAAACGAACTGCAACACGTTGCAATGTCTTAGTGTTCAATAAACGGGTGTGAACTGAGGTAACAGCAAACCATGAGGATGCCAACCTAAGGCGTTCAAAGAAAAACCGAATCAAACATCAAGGAAAAACAAGTGCGCAAGCTTCCCAGCTAACATGTTTTAAAGCTTCCCAGCTGAAGATGGGTTCTGCCAAACACACTCTGGTGCACAATTTTTGAAACATAGCACATCTTCACCACTGTGGGTGGGTGTAAGGAATGGAACGGTGAGGCATTTCACCACTGCTAAAATCAGAGTCTTCCCAGACGTGCTTTGTAAGCATGCCTGCCCGGCTCTAGAGCAAACCATTGGCTAAGAAGGATAAACGTGTACACCTTTCCCTGAAACTGTCAACATACATTAAACATGGAAGTCATGCAAACCCATACAGACCCATACACATTTGTTCACTCAAGTTCATCCTTCTTGCTCTCACTTTGATCAACCCGACGCTTCTTCACTGGCTGGGCTGTTTCCATCTCATCATTGCCAGCCACGACCAGTATGTTTGAGTGAAACACCGGTGTGTAAGCTGAGCAGTCACCTGTGGCAAAAACCAGTGACAGTCATCAAACTCACCAGATTCTAATGTAAAACAACACTGCAAAAACAAACACGTTTCATAAACCAATCTCCCAGGAACCAATCGGCTGTGCAGACTTTGTTGGCACTTCCGCAATGTACAATGATGGTGGAACAGGTTGATCAAAGGCTGCCTCTTTCTTCGCCATGTCCTTGCCTTGCAGCAAACCACCGGTTTTGGCTGACAGGGAAACTGTCAAAAATCTAGTAACTAGGTTCTACAACAAACCATCTCTTCATGGCTGTAACCGATGCATTGCTAGCGCTCATAAAACCTGACATGGGCCAGCGACCTCCATTCTACACAATTCCCCTGCCTTCTCCGTGGAGCAGCTCTTTGAGTGATTTGCTCGCCAATTGATCAGCCATTATTGGCGATGCTGGGACGCTTGACAGCTACTAGAAAGCGGCTGTGAACCAAAAACATCCAAAAACAATGGCTCAATCCCCCTGCAATTGGCCCAATGTCCTCTGAGGGCTGGGCCATTGTGCAGTCAGGCTAAGAAGAGCCCATGTTTTGAGCCACTTCAACAACACAAAGAACACAACAAAAACATAGGCGCGTTGCATGCACAATGTCACATTTCACAACCATTTTGGTTGTGGCTTCCCAGCCTTTGTGGCTTCCCAGCCTGAAGTTCGTCTCAAAACACATCTGAAAAAAACACTTTAGACATCAAGAGCTTTGAACAGCATGCAATCGCCACCAAACCAAGCCAGCAGCTAGGCTAAGAGAGAAGGAGTAACAGAGGCCAGGAAGACGAGCAAACAAAAAGAGTAAATGGATATGGTTGATGGATGGTTATACAGAGAGATGAAAGACAAACAGACGGAGTATAATAGACATCTATACATGTGTTCTTGGCTCAAAAGAAAATCGAAAAATCAACGAAAACAAATTGTATTACTTTGATGGCCACAGAAACAAAGGATAGTTTCAATCAACCCATGGCCGTAGTTATTGAACCCAGTCAGGTCTGAATTAGACCCACTTAGGTTTAAATTAACTTTACAGTAGTTCTTGCCGATAGATGTCAAGGGCATCACTGTTGACAGAAAGAGTACACAATGCTTGCACAATCTCTTCACTGAAGAAGATCCATTGCGGTACTGCTGTTTGTTCAACATAGTTGAGGAGGTTAAGGTCTGTAAGAAACTTGATCAAAGGCTCTTTGCCAAAAATATCGAAACGTTGCTCTCGCCTATCCTTGTTGCTGTTGTCAATGGCCTCTTTAGTAAGATAAGGCGGCAGAATCTGTGTTACAATAGGTTGAGCAATTGGAGGCTTCGTGACAGACGACATCACCAAACTTCGAAAGTTGATGTGACGGTAAGGCTCCGGAACGATGGTGGTTTGAGTACTTCTGCCTGACATTTTGAGATTATTTTCGATAGCTTGCCTAAAGGAGATATACCCTTGTCTGACATCATCAGGCGAGGCTACTCCAAAGAAGCATTCTGCTTCTCCTTGGATCCATGCTCGAATGTGATCCGGCGTGCCAATGGCAAGGCTAATAAGCTTGGGATGAAAGGAGTTACCAACAAAGGAGCGTATTGTCTGTGAGTGCAGAACATGCTTAAGACGAGAAATGGTGGCAAAGTTGCGGCTGAGACCTGAAACCTGCAAAACCTCACTGTCGCTTAAGAAGCGGAAAGGAACTCGTATACTACCGTTGTGAAACAACGGAAGGACATCTCGAAGCACCGCATCTTTCTCTGGGTTAGAGGAAGTTTTGTTGTAGAAGCAGTTCAAAAAGCGCCTCCACGCCGGATAATAGATTGCAGGTATGAAATCGCTCCATTGAAAGGCTGGAACAGAACTGTCGGTGAACATGTTTGCTATCATTGCAAATCGTTCATGTGTGTGCCAGTACGAAGTTCTCCACAGCAAAGCTGCAGGATGGTAGCTAGTCCAGCTATAGCGAAGAGCAGTGTCACTGAGAACTTCAAGGGGTCGCATGAAAGGTTTGATAAAAACGTCACGAAATTTCCCTTTATCCTGGATGGATAATGGCCTCCAATCAGTAGGCCATTGTAGGTCTTCCTGGCATAGGGCTTGGGAGTCAACAGTATCATGAAAGATGTTGTTTTGGAAGAAGAGACGAAGTCTTTTTGCTGGCGATATTTTGGAAGTACACCAAGTCATTTTGTCTCGTGTGATGTGCGAAAGGCCAAGGCACGCTCTGATGAAGGCAAAGTGGTCATAGTGCATTGACCCTGCATTTTCAATAAGGAAGCGAATGTGCGTTTTAGGAAGGACTGTTCCAAGCAAATATAGTGCGAGATGCATCGTAAAGAAAAAGACACTGTCTGGACCACATATGCCTAAGCGTCCATGTTCCTGGCCAGCATAAGTGAGGTCAGTACAGGGACTGCCTCCAATGACAAAAACATGACAGTAGTCACTTAAAGTGACAAACTCTCTTAAAATTCTTGCTCCATCATCAAAGAGAAGATCCACATCATTTGCATAGAAGAAGATGCCTCCTTTGAGGCTGTGTATCCATTGCACGTTAACAGAGATTCCATGTTTTTCTGCAACCAAATATCTGAGTACTTCATCTCTTTCACACAGCACACAGACTTTGGGGCGATAACCAAATTTTTCAATAAGGATGTCTAAAGACGATCCGCATCCATCAAACATGCTTAGGACAGCATACGGCGGTTTAGACTCGCAGCTTTGCATGGGCTGATCAAGTGGTGAGGCAGGCGATGCAATGTGATCTGTCTGTGATGACTGTGACAGAGATTTTTCAATGGCTTCTAGTTGTTCAACAGGAATAGTTGCATCACTGGGAGGCGGTGGGCAAAGTTTCTCTGGAATGTAGGCAGCTTGGAGCTCGTTCGCATTTAGAGGAACAGGGCCAACAATGTCTTTTCGATTTCCGACATCAATGGCCCTTTTTGTAGCAAGCTTTCTCTTAGGTGTATTTGTTTCTCTCTGCCCAAACTTGTTTTTAGCCCGTTTTGAGTCTTTGCCACGCATAATATTAGAAGTTCGTTTCGGAGGTCGCGTGTGAAGCCATGTGCTCGAAATTGTCGCATGTCGGTAAAGGATACCACAAATTCGATCACCTGCTTTGAGATGTGAGTTACTCAATTGACTCAGCCCTGTGGCATTGTCGTATTTCAGGATTGTAGAGTTGGCATTTTCATGTTCTAGCACATAGAAATGCTCACACGGTTGATGCTCCCCATTCAGTGGGTCCGGACCCTGATGAATAACTAAGGCAATACATTGCCAAATCTGCCCGCCTGATTGGAAGGTATCTTTTTTAAGAAACTTGTCATAGTCCGTTGCAAGTGGCTGGTTCGCTCGTTGAAAGTGTAGCCACACCAGTCGACAGGGTGAGCAAGAGATAGTGGCCCAGTTAAAGTTACTGGCACATTCTTGACATTCTGGACCAACATTTATTCCATCATCACGCCCAATTGGCAAGAGACGCTCCGACCATGGAAACGCCGCTTCAAAGAAGGCAACATGCGATAATAGTCCGGACGGTGAGTCAGTAACTATGAAAGTAGCGACATCATGCTCAACAATTCTGAGACAACTCAGACAGGTAAAAGAGACCCTAGACCCTAGTAGGTCATGAAAAGGAGGCGGAATTATGGCGACAATAGACTCATATGTTCTGAGCAAGTCCATATGAGTGTCTTTGGGGAGAGTGGACATGGCCAAAGCAAGATGATAATGATCAAAGTCATCATTCGGTAGGTGA